AAAGAAAGAAAGAAAGAAAGAAAGAAAGAAAGAAAAGCAAACTTAAGATCATCTATATAAAATGATCAGCAGAGGAAATAGATCACAACACAGTAATGTCACCCACATGGTGTTTAGCTACCCTGGGCAGCCCAGGTTTTCCCTTGGTATGTCGATGGCAACAATAAGCTGTACAAATACTGTCCTTGGAAAATTACTTACCTCTTTTTACAAGAATTCTGGGATGTCTAGAATGCTTACTGAATATTTATAGTAGAGGAATTGCTAGTTTTTACAGCTTTTGCCCTCCATCAAGCCTTTTGTGACCAGCATATATTTCTAGCATCTTCAGCAATTCTGCCTGAACTATGCTTTAAACTTTTGCTTAGGAATATAAAGACAGGTGATTTTTGGGTCAGCTTCAGTGCTTTCTTCCAAGATGGAACAGGCAGTTGGGGAATCATCTTTGGGTACCAGTGACTTTAGCCTTTCAGATCATTCAAATCAAAATGATATTTCATGTGAATTCTGAAATAGTAATAGAAACTACTCATCATATCTTCAGTCCTGAGTTTGCCAAATAGACTATAACTTTCTAAAAAGCAATCAAGCTACCATAATTTGTCAAAGATGATGACTTGACAGTGATGACCTTGAAATACCTATAAATTTTGTTTCTCTGATAGTTCCTCAGATATGGAAGTGAAACTGTCATCAGAAACATATATAATGTTATGAAATTCAGAACAGGATACTTCAATGTCATTATTCTTACAGTGTTCTATTAATGGAGAATGGTGCTAAGATGTTTTAGATGTATATTAACTTTCTGACCATGAGATGTTCATTTAGAACTTTACTAAAAGGAATTTACTCACTAATATTATAGTGTCTTGGAAGAGTTTCTGTATTTCTGAAAAGAGAGAGCTTTGTCCCCTCCTGTCTTAGAGAACTGAATCTGATATTGCAAACATCAACAAAGAAGTGATCGATTTGGGAGTTAAGAAATAAAATGGATGCAATATTTTTTATCTTAGTTGGCTTTTCAAATACTCCTTGTTTAAATATGGTCTGTTGTTTTGGGAAAGGCATACTATATGCTTGAGTGAATTTTGGTTTTTCACCCGAGGGACTGGCCCTTCCACCAAAAAGAGGAATATGAGAGAATGGTAACAGAATAGGAGAAAAACCAAAAAAGAGTGAGAAACTTAAGAAAGAAAATGTTTTAGAACCTGTATGTATTATAGGGTTTTAGACAGAGGCAACTGAAAAATCACTCTCATAGTGATGTCTCTAGAAACAAGTATATAAATGCAACTTCCATGTGTTGCTATGGAAGATAAGTCCCACTGAAGACACACTCATAGATTTTTCAAATTACAAAGTACACCGATACTGCTGCCATGAGAGACAGAAGATGGAGCAAGTGGTTAGATTCTCACCTAAGAAAGAAGAAAAACAAAGGAGGCTTTAAAATAAGTTGATTTAAAACACCCAAAGAGATAAAAGAAGAAAATAATAAGAATTTAAGAAAAAGGGAATGGGCCTCTTTCAATCCAGGTGGAAATCACAGAAACAAAAAATACAGTAATTGATGAAACTCAATGTGTAGGTTATATAGTAGACTAGACACCACAGAACAGAGTTTTAGTAAATTGGAAAAGTTTAGTTAACAATACAGAAAGCAGCATAGAGAGATTAAGAGAGGAGATGTGAAAAAGAAGGTGAGAGATTATGGTAGACGGACTTTCCAGATGGCACTCTGTGATCCATACCTATCAGCATTCACATCCTTACATAATCCCCTTCCACTGAGAGTAAGCTGGATCCCACTTGAGACTTACTTTAAACCAGCAGATAATGGCAAAGGTGATGGGTTGTTACTTCCTTATTAGGTAAAAAAGATGTGACTTCTGTGTTGTTAGGACATCCTCTCCTGCTGACTTTGACGAAGCAAGCTGCCTTCCTGGAGAACTCCATATGAAGGAGGAGGCTTCTAGCCAAAAGCCAGGAGAGAACTGAGGCCCTCAGTGTCACTGAATCCTGCCAATGATCACGTAAATGAGCTTGGAAGCAAATCCCTCCTCTGATGAGTCTTCCTCTAAGAGCCCAGTCCAGGCCAACACTCTGACTGAATGCTTATGAGAGACCTTGAAGCAGAAGTCCCACTTCAGCCATGCCCAGATTTCTGACTCACCCGGAAACTGAGAAACAGTAAATGTGTATTGTTTTAATCCATTTAATTCTAGGGTCATTTGTTATGCAGCAACAGGAAACTAATGCAGAGAGGTTGACGGAGACTAAGTTGTTAAATACCTTTACTTAAGAAAGGAAACATTAGAGAAATAGAACATTTTACAAAATTTAAGGAGGGAAATGACAAGATAAAATGTATATTTCTGAAGGAGTCCCTGGCTGTATAAGAAATGGGAAGATTGGAAGGAAGAAAGAGTAAGGGCAAAGGTACCAGGTAAAATATTTTAGATAACAAAATGGCCCCAGACTAGGTGGCAGTAGAGGGATGGAGCAGAGGTGAATCTAGTCAACAGATGATCCTTTCTGCTCAAGTTGATTCATATATGTTGTATGCCTTGGATTCCAGGGCTTCCACCTTTCGTTAACTCCTATATATAAATAAATAAATATATATATATAAATTCCCCAACTGACCAATGTTGACTCATGGGCAGGGACGTCTCTACATCCCTATTTAGCAGAAAAAATTTACAGAAGATAAGACTTTCCACTCTCAGCAACCTTAAAGATTTAAAGGTCAAAATTATTCAGGGCAGGAAATGATAAGAACAAAAGCAAAAAAAGAAAAAAAAAAGTAGATAAAAACTTTCAGATCACTGATAAATATCCGAAACATTCAGAGTGTAACATTCCTCAAGGAACTCAAGGCTACCTTAATGTCAATGCTTTGCTAGAGGCAAAAAGCAATCTAAAGCAATCTTAGTTTGACAATAGCCAGGCCTTCAGGATCCAGCAAGTCTTCTTTAACATATGAAAAAGGCTTTAGAGACTTTATCTCTACCTACCACCCCTCCAACTTAAAAGTATATAATCAATTGCTCCTCAAATTCACAGTCAGCTCTTTCTGCTCCAGGGTCCTGTCCCTATGCTTTAATAAAAGCACCTTTGTGCACTGGGGGTAAAAAAAGACACCAGAATTTGACAAAAAGAAGGGGGTAGGGGGAGTAGGAGGAGGAGAAGTATTAATTCAGTGATTGAGTTAATGTTCTGGGATGGAACCAACAGTGGGGTTTTAATGGTAATTTTGTTTCTAGTGGGTGGCTGACTCTATGGGGGTGCCTTTATTGAGATAGAGAAACGTGAGTTTGTGATGCCTACAATATATGGAAGCAGAAATGTCTAGAGAGCAGTTATATGTACAGGAACTCAAGAGGAAGCTCTGGACTAGAGGTAAGTGTTTAAAAACCGTAAGCAACCTGATGGGAAGCTGAGGGATGAGACTGCCTAGGAG